AAACTTCTTTCAAAAATTCTAATTTTATATTCACTAAAACAACCTCTCTGTTGTCATTAATAAACTTTATAACTAGATATTACATAGTCAAATTTATAAAAATAAATGTTTATTGATTTTAAAAGTCTAGTTTTTGTTGATGCTTTTTATTGGTATCCTGAATAAAATTTCCGTTGGAAAGGATTTCACTACAACAAATTATTTTTTAAGAAATTTAAATCACATCCTGGAAAATGTCAGCAGTCCCTTCAAATCCTAAAAGTCTGTGATTCTTTAACAATAAATTCTCTTCAACTTTTTCTCACATTTTGTCAACATCGAAGGTGAGAATGATAGATAAGTAAACACAAATGCCTGCCTAATGCCAGCAGCTGCTATGGAAAGCACAACAAATGAGCAGGGGCAGAAGTGATTGTAGTCAGTGTCCATATGTCTAGGAGATAGTGGCATTTATGTGTTTGTATACCTCATACTTCCTGTAGAGTTCAAACTGACCAGCCCCTTGGAATGTTTTAAGAATTACATAGTTTTATTCCTGTTCCATAGATTGAGAACTAAATATTGGGCAAACTTAGTTATAGAGCACCCTAATATTAAATGGCTTATTAATTCCGTTTTTAAATCCTAACATATTGTAGGCACTTACAGTGTATTCTTCTGTGTAATAAATCTGCAGTTTAAAATTCCTCTATTGTCCTCTGAAATCATTCCTAAGCAAATACTGTGTGCTAACAAACTCCTTTAATTGAAGGACCAAAGGCAGATTTGCCTTCTGCCCTGGATTACGATGCTCCTAAACTCTTATTTCATGATTAGCAGCTTTGATTTTATCATCATGGATCATTGCCCTTCTTCCGTCTGGGAGTTTTCAGTCTTGAATCAAGAGCACTGTCTTTGGAGTCAGACGAACCTGGCTTTGAATCTGCGCTCTAACATTTAAAATATGAATGAACTCTCTGAAACTTGTTTTCCTCATTTGTAAAATGAGATCATTAAAAACACTGACTTCATAGAGCTGTGTTAAGTATTAATTAAGATAATACAGCCTCTGGTGTTTCGTGAACATTACATAAGGTTGGCTTTGGCTGTATATTATGATCATGGTCATCATCGTCATATTGTCATCAGAAGTAGACAGTGGCTTAAAAGCATCACCAGGAATCATCCATTTCTTTGCATTTGAAAATTACCGTCTCTTCACATGATTTGTCATCCTCCAGGAGGCCAGTCCTGGTTTCTCACTTGTAAGTGTCCCCTGCAAGCAACAAGAGAGGACCACTCCCACACACATGTACTTTTCAAGCCTCTGCTGCATCAATTTATTAATGTCCTATTGACCAAAACAAGTCATATGGCCCAGCCCAGAGACAGGGGTAGGAAATGGACCCCACCTCTTCATGAGGGAGGCTACTAAATATTATGACCTTTTTTTTTTTTTTTTTTAGTTTACCACAAATACTAAGCCATAAATAGATTGTGATCTTGAGGAAAAAATGATTTTTTTACACTGGTAATAAAGCTATGCTTAAACAAGCACATAATCATTTCTAAGCCTTGATAGGAGACTTAGGTATTCTCATTCACATTTACAGGTGAAAACAACTGACATTCGAAGAGTTTAAATGTCATGCCTGAAGTTACATAAAGAATCAGTTTAGCTAGATTTGCAAAACTTCTTGTTGAAGGCTTGGTTCTTCCTACAGCACTGGACTTGACTTATTAATATACTCCCTTTTTAGATTTACGACAATTTGGTAGCATTACTTTGTTTTTCATTATGACCCAGTAGTCATTAGTTTCCCAGTGAACTTGATCTTTGTGCTTAATTCTTAATACATAAGAATAATCCATTTACAAAATAAAAGATATCCTTCTCTTATAACTTTGTAGTCTATTTCTAGCCTCAGTTTTTGTCTTTGTCTTTTGAAACTATCGTAACCTATTTCCTTCAATGAGCCGTATTGTGAGAGGGTAGATTGCTATTGAATGGTTAAATGAGTCTGGTAGTCATAGTAAGTGCCTCCTTTTCAATTTCACTGTATAACTTACTGCCATTCTTGTCCTAGATTAGACATTGGGATAAACAGCCCCGAAGGCCTGATAAATTCTATGCTCACTTACAAGGTCATGTAAGATAATGATCAAAGTTCTATATTAGAGCTACATAACCATGACCCACAGTGGTTTTATAATTGTGTTTGGATACAGTGCAATTTAAACCTAAAATTCAAGTTACTTACATCTCCGCCCTCCTATCCTTGTTTCTCATTTATTTTTTGGTTGAGAAGATTAATAATAATGTTTTCATCACACTTTACAACTTTCACATACTTCATTTAACTATCGCAAAAGACTAGGACATAAAACAATACTATTGTAAAATGTGTATGTCATTATAGATGAGAAAACTTAAGTTCCAAAAGGTAGGTTCCTTTCCTGAGATCACACAACCAGAATGCGTGGAGCCCACACTGAAAGTGCCCCCCACCTCCTACCATTTTTCTGACTCGATGCATATGCTTCCTTTGTTGTCTTACCACTCAGTTTACCTTGGCAAAGTGATGGACAATGTGCTGACTTCATTTTGATCTCTAATACTATTTATTTTGGATTTAATTGTATATTTAATTACACTATTATTTGGCTGTTTCATAAGTTTCTATTTTCTTAACGATATGGTAAGCTTTTTTTAAGGTACTTCCCCTTCCCCCTCCCCTCCATTCTCCTACATCATTTACTGTCCTGTTGAGAACCTAGGAGGTAGGCAGCAAATACTGGTAGAATCAGACTGCCTTCTCACTAGGAATGACTGAAGCCGAGACTGTCAGGCTGCAGTTGGAAAGTGATTGGTGTTTTACTGCCTCATGAAGTTACCTCTTCAGTCCAAGCAACTGTCAATGCCAGGCTGAGCTCAGAAACTCTCAGAGTCATTTTCTCTTCTATTGCTTAAAGTGCATCCACTCACATCTGCCTTCATCCACAGTGATTTGGCCCTACATGGTGAGTTTAAAATAGCTACTACACACCATTGTAAGACATTTGAGACATACTGCAGGGACCCTTCAACAAGCTGGGCTTCTATGAAGGTCATTCTCTCCTGAGGCCTGCAGGGAAGGCGTAGGTATTTTTCAGTAGCTACAGAGAAGAATCTTTTGGTCAGTAGTATGCTACCTGCTTCCGTAACCACTGTCCCGGCCCCTCATTCCTCTATTCCCCTTTACTACTAGGGCCACATGCTTCTCCTTAGCTCAGCATCCTAATCGTGCATTCTATTTTGAGATTACTTAGTCTTCAACTTAGTTAAGCCATGTGATGTGTAACATGTTCAGTTCTCCTAGGTTTGCACATCTCCATTGTTTTTTTATTACTTATTTTTGCGTGGTTAAGAAATGTCAGCATTTTACTACTCTCCTCATTTTATTCTTACCAGTTTCTTTCAAGCATCACTAATGCTGCTGTAAGTGGCTGGGCCCTTTGGAGGTATTTATTCTTTTATTCACATTATTCACAGACACTTTTCTTGGTGCTGGGGTTGTTATAGAGAGCACAAACAGGCAGGATTCCTGTGTTTATATATGTTATGGACTGATAGAGAAGAGAGACTTACATGATTAGACAGATAAATGCAGGTTGCAGTTCGGGTAGGTGCTACAAAGCAGGAGACACACAGTGGTCTGCAGGGCTAGAACCACCATGTCAGGCAGATCAGATTGCTTTGCTGGGGAAGAGACTCTGGAACTGAGATCTGAAGACAGAAGAGAGCTTACAGTCTTTTTTGCGTCAGGTAAAAGGGCAGTTATGACACAGAATGACCCATACCTCCAACCAATACCGGCAAATATGGCACCTATGTGAAGGGGTGTAGAGTTGGACAAGATAGAGTGAGGGAACTTGACATTGCCTGAGAGAATTCGGGAAGACATCCCTAAGGAGTGTCAGTTAGATTAGATCGGGAACGATGAGGAGAAATCATGTGAAGAAGGGGAAGGAGAAAGAAGACATCACATGAGAGACTGCAGAGGGCCTGGCACTATAGAGATACTGGAGAGAGGCCGAGCAGCTGGAGTGGGCGAGGGTACAAACAGGGACACACTGTGAGTGGTCTTTAGGTAATGATAATATCTTACACTCAGGAGTTTTTCTGTGTTATCTAAAACAACTTTCCTGAGATAGAATTTTTTTCCACCAACGTCGAAAATAACATACTATTTTAAAGTGCAACTGACGTGTACATGTCAAAATAAAATTATGGGAGAACACATGCACTCTCCATCAGTGATGCCAGGAGGTCTAGAAATGGTCCGAGTTGGTGGACTCTAAATGGAGGCTCACAATGAATGAAACCTGTTCTAGGAAACTTACTCTGTAGAGAGTTCTCTCTTTTCATGCCCGTCGCACTGCCACATTTCTCCTTTCTTTTCATGTTTAGTTTCCTGAACTTGAGGTGAGTACTCCTGCTTTGTGGACTTCCTCAGATCTAGGGAACTTACTCTCACTCCCTTTCTCATCTGACTTTCATCATCTTCAGTTACGTACTTCAATAAAAGTAGACTTCAAAGAAAATGAACTTAAATTTTAAATATGAGCCTGTACTTTTTTCTTTCCACTTTCCTCAATCCTTCCTATATTAGATATATCAGTGATAGGTATTCGATGGACATAGTTTCCTGAGGACTGGGATGAATTTTATCTCAATAGCCTGGCTACCTTGATCTTTTCCAGGTGAAGGAGTCAGGTGTTTTGTGCCCCATCCCCCAGCAGGTTGCATGCTATGCCTATTTGCTTTATAAACAGAAGACCCCTTGGATTGCCAATGTGTTGTCTTGAAAATTTTTTTGTAGTCAGGAATGAAAGTTATATAATAATTATGCTTATTTATCACCACAGAAGAAAAAATTTAAGGAAGAACTTAGTACATAGTTGATATAGATGGTGATGAAAAAAAGAATTCTACTAAAGACATGGATTCTTGTGACAGAATATTTATTGTTCCAATATAGGATGAAGAGGAAGAAATCAAACAGGAAATTAACATGTTGAAAAAATATTCTCATCACCGGAATATTGCTACGTACTATGGTGCTTTTATCAAAAAGAACCCACCAGGCATGGATGACCAACTTTGGGTAAGTCTACAAATTTACTTTTCTTACATGAAGAACTGAATGGTCCATTTATCAATTCTTATGACTAAATTCGACTAAAGAACTCCTTCTTTAAAACCCTTATCCCTATAATTCCCATAACACTGTGTTTTCAAGGTTTTCTCTCATTTCCTTGAATACTTTTCTGTTGTTTTTAGTATCTCTGTCTTCTCTCTTTTAATGTGGACCATCCTTAAAGCCAGTTGTTAAGTTCTGTTTCTTCCCTCACTAATGACTAATTTTATTGAGTTTTTATTATATTTCAGGTACCATACTATTTACTTTTTCTGGGTTATGTCATTTATTCTGGCTCTTTGAGGTAAACATTATTATTATCCTCATTTTGGGGGGTTGATGAAACTACGGTTTACAGAGAGAATAAGCAAACTGTCCCAAAGTCTACGTAGCAAGAAATGGTAGAGCTAGTATCTAACCAAGCTCAACATGAATGTTTCTCCTTCTCTATCACTAATGTGTGGATGGCTGATATTTAAATTCTAACTCCAGAAGTTAACCACTTAAGATAGTGTCTGATACCATGCAGGTACTCTCAAGGGTCACTTTCCTTTCCTGCTTCTCCTCGTCTGCTCAGCTATGTGCTCCAGCCCTGTATCTTCAGTAGTCTATGAAACAGCTCTGATTGGCTGTCCTATTAATAATAAATTCAGTATGTCTGACGGCAATACCACTGCTCCTATCCCTGCCCTGCCCAGCCCAGACTGCCCTACTTCCACCTTCCTCATTTCTGCTATTGGAACCTTTATCCATTTAGGCCTGTGCAAAGGCTTATAGTGCTATCTTGGTTGACCTTTCTTTGCCAGTTTTTTCACCACTCCATCTTTATAAGCCCATTCAGTAGAAGCCTAGATTTTGCAGCTGTTTGATCTATACCCCCATCCCCATCTCTTTTCGTGATATGCTGCTGTTAGGTTAATGGCTACAAAAATACCCTTGTAACTATTTATCATCTTGCTCATTTTCCAGAGGTCTTAATATGTGTCTAACACACAAAACTCACTGAATTATCCAGTGTTTACTATATCAAATTATGTATTAAACTATGTGTATACAGTTACCACTATTTCATGGATAATTTCTCAAAGAACTCAGCTTTGGGTAGAAGTTACTCTCTTAAGGCATAAGACATGTATCGTACAGCTGAGAAGACAAAACATATACAGTGAACACAATTGGTGACCTAAAAGAATATAAAAATGTTAGCTCAGAAAAATAATAAGATTTTCATGCCATTTGATATTAATACTACAAATCATTGGGAGTGAAAAGGTCTACTGGGTTTTAAAATAAAAAAAAATGTACTTTGGGATAAAAAAACCCACTTTGATCCACAGAGTGAAGGGGTCCCTCTGGTGGCTGGGTTGAAACTAGACTGAATGGAGGCCAGAGTACAAGCAGGAAGACCAGTTAGGAGGCTCTTTTAGCAAACTCCTTCCTGAAGCTGGCAAAGGGGCATGAGTAAGTAGTGATCGCTTCTAAACCCAGGTCACATGGAGAAGAACCCCGCCTTCACATTCCATTTTCCTTACCTACGATTAAATGCAGGTGGCAAAATGTGGCAGTTACAAGCCCTACATTCTGCTTGGAAAACTCGTGCCCACACCTAGGATTGTTATGACGATTCTCACTAGCAATCATTCATTAGCTTCTATGTCACTGGGGGTAAAAATGCAAAGCTATGAAATGCCTCCTCAGGGTGAGAGCATCATGTCCTTTTCTAGTTGTGCTTCTATTTGAAGATGAACTAAGGAGGCACTTGGGAAAGTAAAGCAGAACAGAAACATAATAGTTGGTAAATTAATATCAGATTACAATATTGGTGGGAACTTGGTTATAGAATATAATAGCGTATACTTATTCCAAGGCCCCCGACTCTCTAAATTTGGGCCATTCTATGTTACTAATAACAATGGCAGGTAATATTTATCATCTACTTATCACATGCCAAGTACTGTATTTGTTTGCATTGTAATTTTTTTATTAGATCTTTATAGCCACTCTACAAATTAGATAAATCATTTTCCCTACTTGACAGCTGAGGAAATTAGATTCAGAGAAGTTAAGAAATTTGCCCAAGGTCTCATAGCTAATGGGTGATGAAGCCAGTGTGCTAGCTAACCCCAAGCTACCTTTAGACTGGAATGAACCTCTGAACCCTACACTCTTGACCTTTTCGTTGGTGTTCAATATAGGATTGCAGCTTTCTGTTTAAATAAGTTCATTTTGACTTCACTTTTGATCTTCATTTATCAGTTTCCCCAATTTTCAAAGAAGAGAACTATTAGCTGCTAATAAGACTGGTGTGAAGTCTAGGAAATACACTTTGAAATGTACGTTAAACCTTTTGGAAATGTTTTAGCACATAATTGCAAAGGTCACAGATAGCTGACTCTTTGGGTAATGGCATTTTGTTAGAATTACATTTATATGAAATGTTATTATAGATTCTATAGAGAAAAAGCCTGTAACAACCAAGAGAGCAACACTTTCTAACATTTATTCCCAGTATTTAGACCACAGAAAAATATTTCCCAGATGCTGTGGCTGGAGTACAGAAGTTTGCACATAACTCACCAAACAGCCAATGTGTGTGCTGTTTCAGGTGTCTGATTGAATTATAATCGGTGCAAATTCTATCAGTCTTGTAGAGATAAACTCTTGTTCAGTACCAGCTCTTTGTGAAAATACAACTACTTCTGATAATGGCCAAGTAATTCTCCCTTATCAACTGCTTAGGGCCTGATCCGGAAATCAAAAAAGAGAGCTCTTTCAATAAAGATTCTGATCTCTCAGAAACAAGGCGAGCTCTGACACATAACATTGCCATCCATCTCATTCCCTGGCATCTCAGTGTTGAGAGGCTTGCCATTTTGCTGCAGGCCATTCAGACACTAGGAGTGAGTGAGAAGTACTGTCTATTAAAGAAAATTTCTAATTTCTCTAAAACTAGAAAGCAAAATCACATGTATTTTGCTATCTCTTTGTATACCACCACAGGGCTAGAATATCTTACAAAAGGAAATAAATTTATGATTAGCTTCTGAAATGTAGGGTGGTCAAGTAAAGTAAATTATGTACTGAATGACCCAATAAGCCATTCATTAATTTTAACAGGATAGATTTGCAGAGCTAAGAGTTAAGAAATTATACTGTATGTATTTTGGGGACAAATGTCATAGCTTGACTGAAACCTGGCCTGGAATCCAGAGACCTGTATTCAAACCTGGCATTTGCTTCTCTGGCATTTGGCTTCTTCCTTATAAAAATGGTAACTCTGGACTAGTGACAGCCTGGAGGCTAAATGCTGTCCAGATAAATGTGGATAGCTTGGTCCACCAAAGGTGGTGGTGCTATAATTATGCCAACATTAGACAAAAAAATGAGCACTTTCAAACTACAGTCTGGATTTCTTGAAAGGTTTTGAAAAATCAGATGATCTGGAAATATTGGGCCTGAAATCCCAAACAGTAGCAGTATGTTAGAGCAGTAGAGAAGCTGTGTAGAGAGCACATCCCCACTCCAGTTGTCATGATGGGCCCCATCACTCCCTGTTGTCTTCCATGCATCCTCTACTTCACGTATTTACTTGTCCATGCCCTGAATGAGATCATCTAGGAATGAGATACTGAGATGAACTAAGATGTGGTGTCATTCATCTACCAATGAGGGACACTTTCTAGAATCTGCAATGATGTTGGCCATTGCTCCTAAACCTAAGTCTGTCAGTTTGGATTTACATAGCTGTAGCATCTTGGCTTGGCAAAAGTCATGCCCACTAACATTTTGGTTGTTTTAAGATTTAAACGTCAAATGTTACAGATACCAACCACCATTAAAAATTCAACCACCCGTAGCTAAAACTTTTGAACAGTTAATTAAAATTTCCCTTTTTTTATTTTAGTTCTATGCATCAGAAATGCAGTTTTGGCGGGGGGCATGTTTTAATCAGTGTCTGTCACTTATATAACTAAAGAACACCTTTCTTTCATATATAGAGGATAGGTCATTTGTCTGGATTGAATCTTACTATTTGTGAGCAGAAATTTTTAAAAGGCCGAACATGGTAGATAGAGAAGCCTAAAATAATAGGATAAGTTTATAATCGGTCTCCCAGTCTCCCTGTTGCATATAAGTTGCTTAGATACAAACATAGAGCTAAAGCTACACTTAATTTAATACTTTGTCACTGGGCTTGAGTTCAGCTTTAATAGAGCCATTTTTATGAATTGATGGGTGATTCTGTGACAAGAATGTAAAAATGATTTCTTCTTTTATTCCAATGAATTTTATTTGAACTATGCTTAAACTGCTTTTCACCTTAGCCAAAGGAAGACTTTATGTATACCCAAGGTTATTCTGCTAATGGTCTATACAACCCTCTGGTTCATTTTATCCATTAATTTTGAGCTAACGTATATGTTCCTATTTACATTGTTTCTCAGAATCCTCTACTGCCAAGTTGCGTAGTCCTAAGTCCTCAAAGTCCAATATATATTTTTTTCTCTTCCTATTTTTATCTTGTTCCCTTATCCCAACCCCAAATTCTTCTGTTTGGGGTAACATTTCAAGAGGCTGAATTGTAAATTTTTTACAGCCTCACGTTAGTTTCTGTGATTGAGTCCATGGCCCAAATGTCCATGTAATGACTTACCCCTAAAATTCTCCAGAAGATCTTGCACATGTCCTGAGAAATTTAGCAACAGATACCAAATACAAGATGCATCTAACTTCTGTCGTTCTGTGAATGCTGCTGTGCTGACTCTGAGATGGCTATCTCCTTAGACATGGGCAACTAGAAAACATTCCCAGTAGGGCTGTGGGCAGCCTTCTAGTTCTTAAAAATACCACTTAGCTCAGTATATTCAAACTGCCATTGTCATTCTCAAGATATAAAGTTCTTCATTATCCAGACACTTTATTGACCAAGTTTGGAACTTCACATCCTTGGGACTCATCTTTGGAAG